GACAGTTTTTTCGAATATTAATCATCAGTATAGTTACAGTGAAGCCAAAATGCTCTCATACTGGGGATTTAAATGACGCAGGGCTTTCAAGCATCTCCGTTCCTCCGCTCGCAATGACCGCGCTGTGTGTGGACTGAACAACGTGCGCACAACTTTTTTTTCATAAATCAAACCGCGGATCACGTCTGTACCGAACCGAAGACGTTGAACCGAACGGATCACGGATCAGTGATGAACCGTTGCACCTCTAATAGACAGCGCTGATTTGCTGGTTCAGTCTCTCCCCGCTGTCAATCACCTCTTGGAGGCGGGCTTTTGACGTTACAGATTAGGGCTTTGACTTCAAAATTCGATATTCAAATATAATTCGAATATCAAAATACATATACACACATATATATATTAAAATATATATATATTTTCGAACAAATATTAGGCAGCCCTTAATATTCTAAATGTATTTAATGACTGTAAATAAAATGGTTAGCTCCCAAAGGGGTCGCTGTGACGTGGCTAGGCGGATAACAGCTAAGCTAGCTAGTTCAAAAACTCTCTCGAACTACATGAAAACTGAACAACAAAGAATTCTGAGCATCAGCGGTGAGTGACCCATTTATACCGAACCTAAATCCATAATCAGATCCTCTTCAAATGTGTCCTAAAATGTTCGTTTCATGTTAATGATTACGCGCTAGAGGAAGTAGCCGAAGGTTAGCCTCTCTGCACAGACCATGGATCTATAACACAGACAGGCGCCTGCTGAAAGCCTGTTGTACTTGCTGAATAATAGGCAAGGCAAGGCAAGTTTATTTATATAGCACAATTCATACACAAGGCAATTCAAAGTGCTGAACAAAACAAGAAAGCATTAAAATCATAAATAATCACAGAACATTAAAAATAATGTAATGTAATAATTATAATAATAATGTTAGGAGCTGTTCAATAAATTATAATTAAATATTCAAATATATTCGAATATTTAAAATACTAAACAAACACATTGCGAATGATTTTTGTACAAAAGTCAAAGACCTATTACAGATTGGTGCAGTCACGATTTGAATTCACTCATTTCTGTTTCTCGAGGGAATCAATGAAAAAAACTACTCTGGGCATGAAGGCCAAACAGCTGTAATCATGTTTAAACAAGAGAAAAGTCAGAAAGTGTAATATGGGCCCTTTAAAGCTCAGAACCGGGTCAGAACATCCGGAATGCTCTTGTTGCACATTCTGCCACGTTCTAAATGCTGTCACAGTGAAGAAAGTTAAAATCAGGCTCAAGACACGCCTTTTTATTTATTAATTATTGCATTTTCCATATTCTATTTTTTTGGATACATTTTAGTTTAGTTTTATTGATGTTATGACTATTATTAATATGTATCGTGACCTTTTAGTCTCAAATGTACATGTTTTACTCTATATAGTATTGTTTTCAGTATCCCCAGTGTTTCCTCTGCAGGAACCCTCTGCACTGGGAGCATTGTTTTTAACCAAACTTTTTAGCACTTTGTGTTGCGCCTTCTGTATGAAAAGCGCTTTATAAATAAAATGTCATTGACGTATTGTGTGTGTGTCATGCTGTACCAACTACAGCGATGTACAAACACATGCTGAGCGCCTGCTCTCACACACTGTTCTCATAGACTACAGCCATAAGAAATGTTTATTTAGAAAAGTTTATCACATGTGGAATTAATGCTGTATGTGATCTCTATCACAAACCAGGAAATGGACGTTCGGGTTGTATGAAAGAGCAATAATGAGACTAATAATGAGCATGAAACTGTTACAGGACGAACGTGTGTTAAAACACAAGAGCAGGAACCGGTTGTCTCGGCCTGAGTTCGAATCCTGGTCCCGTGTAGGTTTCCTCCGGGTACTCCAGTTTCCCCTACCACTAAAAATATGTACAATAGATCTGGCATACGCATACATATACAGTGCCTTGCGAAAGTATTCGGCCCCCTTGAACCTTTCGCCACATTTCAGGCTTCAAACATAAAGATATAAAATTAAATTTTTTTGTCATGAATCAACAACAAGTGGGACACAATCGTGAAGTGGAACGAAATTTATTGGATAATTTAAACTTTTTTAACAAATAAAAAACTGAAAAGTGGGGCGTGCAATATTATTCGGCCCCTTTACTTTCAGTGCAGCAAACTCAGTCCAGAAGTTCAGTGAGGATCTTTGAATGATCCAATGTTGTCCTAAATGACTGATGATGATAAATAGAATGCACCTGTGTGTAATCAAGTCTCCGTATAAATGCACCTGCTCTTTGATAGTCTCAGGGTTCTGTTTAAAGCGCAGAGAGAACCATGAAGACAAAGGAACACACCAGGCGGGTCCGAGATACTGTTGTGGAGAAGTTTAAAGCCGGATTTGGATACAAAAAGATTTCCCAAGCTTTAAACATCTCATGGAGCACTGTGCAAGCAGTTATATTGAAATGGAAGGCGTATCAGACCACTGCAAATCTACCAAGACCCGGCCGTCCCTCCAAACTTTCATCTCAAACAAGGAGAAGACTGATCAGAGATGCAGCCAAGAGGCCCATGATCGCTCTGGATGAACTGCAGATAACTACAGCTGAGGTGGGAGAGTCTGTCCATAGGACAACAATCAGTTGTGCACTGCACAAATCTGGCCTTTATGGAAGAGTGGCCATTTCTCAAAGATATCCATAAAAAGTCTCGTTTAAAGTTTGCCACAAGCCACCTGGTAGACACACCAAACATGTGGAAGAAGGTGCTCTGGTCAGATGAAACCAAAATCAAACTTTTTGGCCACAATGCAAAACGATATGTTTGGCGTAAAAGCAACACAGCTCATCACCCTGAACACACCATCCCCACCTCAGCTGTAGTTATCTGCAGTTCATCCAGAGCGATCATGGGCCTCTTGGCTGCATCTCTGATCAGTCTTCTCCTTGTTTGAGATGAAAGTTTGGAGGGACGGCCGGATCTTGGTAGATTTGCAGTGGTCTGATACTCCTTCCATTTCAATATAATTGCTTGCACAGTACTCCTTGAGATGTTTAAAGCTTGGGAAATCTTTTTGTATCCAAATCCGGCTTTAAACTTCTCCACAACAGTATCTCTGACCTGCCTGGTGTGTTCCTTTGTCTTCATGGTTCTCTCTGCGCTTTAAACAGAACCCTGAGACTATCAAAGAGCAGGTGCATTTATACGGAGACTTGATTACACACAGGAGCATTCTATTTATCATCATCAGTCATTTAGGACAACATTGGATCATTCAAAGATCCTCACTGAACTTCTGGAGTGAGTTTGCTGCACTGAAAGTAAAGGGGCCGAATAATATTGCACGCCCCACTTTTCAGTTTTTTATTTGTTAAAAAAGTTTAAATTATCCAACAAATTTCATTCCACTTCACGATTGTGTCCCACTTGTTGATTCATGACAAAATGTTTTAATTTTATATCTTTATGTTTGAAGCCTGAAACGTGGCGAAATGTTGAAAGGTTCAAGGGGGCCGAATACTTTACCATAATGTACACTGTACATTATGGTTTTCGTCCTGGTCGCGGAACACTGGACCAGCTCTATACTCTCCCCGGGGTGTCCTTTGGGGGGGGGTTCTCCGGGAGTACGGGGTCGGAGGTCCTCTGCTGAGGGCCATCCGATCCCTGTATGACCGGAGTCAGAGCTGTGTTCGCATTGCCAGCAGTAAGTCAGACCTGTTCCTGGTGAACGTTGGCCTCCGACAGGGCTGCCCTATGTCACCGGTTCTGTTCACTGTATTTATGGACAGAATTTCTAGGCGCACTGGGGCGGTTTGCAGCCGAGTGTGAAGCGGCTGGGATGAGAATCAGCACCTCCAAATCCGAGGCCATGGTGCTCGACCGGAAAAAGGTGCCTTGCCCTCAGGTCCTTCCTCAAGTGGAGGAGTTCAAGTATCTCGGGGTCTTGTTCACGAGTGAGGGAAGAATGGAGCGTGAGATTGACAGGCGGATCGGTGCAGCGTGCGCAGTGATGCGGTCGCTGTATTGGACCGTTGTGGTAAAGAGGGAGCAGCGTCTGCAGTCAGAGCTGTATCGGACCGTTGTGGTAAAGAGGGAGCTGAGCCGAAAGGCAAAGCTCTCGATTTACCGGTCAATCTTTGTTCCCTCCCTCACCTATGGTCATGAGCTTTGGGTAATGACCGAAAGAACAAGATCGCGGATACAAGCGGTCGAAATGAGCTTCCTCCGCAGAGTGGCTGCTCCCTTAGAGATAGGGTGAGGAGCTCAGTCACACGGGAGGAGCTCGGAGTAGAGCCGCTGCTTTTCCACGTCGAGAGGAACCAGTTGAGGTGGCTCGGGCATCTGTTCCGGATGCCTCCTGGACGCCTCCCTGGGGAGGTGTTCCGGGCACGTCCCACCGGGAGGAGGCCCCGCGGAAGACCTAGGACACGCTGGAGGGACTATGTCTCTCAGCTGGCCTGGGAACGCCTTGGGGTCCCCCCGGACGAGCTGGCGGAAGTGGTGCGTGGATAGGGAAGTCTGGGCGTCTCTGCTTAGACTGCTGCCCGACCATTTCTGAAGGCACGCTAACGTGCCACTGCTCACAGGTTTAAAAACACTGATCTATCTTTTTTGTCAAAGTAGCTCTCTGATCAAACATGTTTAGGAAACCCCTGATCTACACTCTTCACTTGATAAAAAAGTAAAAATACCCATGCTGCTTCCTCTGGTTAAAGGCATGTAATGGCTATACACCCACATTTTGGCTATTTTCCAGCCATGTGTCTTTCTGTAGAAAACTGGTGTAGATTTGCTCTGATAGAAACTGCTCGAACCAGCATGAAAGCAATCAAAGCTGTGCGATCTTCACCCATTGCCCAAAAGTGGAGAATGCCTTCAACGTTTCCCACGTTGATCCAATAGAGATAAGTAGGAGGGATGTGTCTATTCAACAGACTCAGCTCTAAGTTCACATGGTGATCGCTATAGAAAAGCATTGTAATGGACTTGTCCTTGTTCTCGCAGGTGCAGAAACATGTCGTATCCATTCAACCTGCCACAAGTGAGCATTGTGTTCATCTTTGTGAATGAAGCCCTGTCTGTTATCCTACGCTCCATTCACTCCGCCATCAGCCGCACGCCCTCTCACCTGCTCAAGGAGATCGTCCTCGTCGACGACAACAGCAATAACGGTAAAAGAAAAAATACCTACATTCATTTTCATTTAAAGAAAAGGTATACATTCATAAAAGGCTGGAACAGATGTGTATAATTTCCATCTTGAGTCCTTACATCAGTCCACATACAAGCATAAACAGTGAAATACATCGTCAAAATAACAAATACATACAATATACATACAAGTGCAATATCATTATACATTGCAGTACAATTCAATATTAATCAAGCAAAGTTCTGATTATTTTATGCTAATTAAGTTGTTTAAAAGTAAATTATGGTTTCAAGGCTATCTTGTCTTGTTCAGCACTTTGAGTTGCCTTGGGTCTGAGTTGTGCTATACAAATAAACTTGCCTCTCCTTGCCTTTAAGATATTTTTTTCTTAAAATATCACAATCAACAACAATAACTTAAAAAGAGATTAACTGTTACAATTAATTTAAATTTTAGCTTCAGTGAATAAATAGTGCTGCGAAAGACGATGTGTGAAAGACTTTTGATACTTAAATGTAAACTCTGCGGGTGCAAAATTGTGCCGAAAAATGTTTTGTTTCTGATAAATTAATCAATATACTAATTATATTCAGGTTGCATAGAGCTGGTTGAACTACTGCTCCACTCAGTAACTTCACATGTATCATTTCCAAGGACTACATGTTTTATGGCTGTACAAATTAGCTATACAAAATATCAAATTGCATCATTCCCAGGCATACAAACATTTCTTTTGAATTCTTACCGAATTTTGAGCATTACTTTGTTAGTTTTATTTCCAGAATAATGATTCTGCTTGAAGATATTCAAATCAAAAGACACATTTTCAAATTGAAGTGATGTTTTTCTTATCTTAAGTCAATTTTTTGTTTGCAAAGAACATTTCAATTGAGATTAATCATACAGCGTTCTATCACGCTGTAGTGTTTGTTGTTCTGTGTAGTGTTGTCATTGACGGCACATAGCATTACTTATGTAATGTGCAGATGTGTTGCAGCATCTGGGCATCATACAGATGCGGCCGTTCACTCTGCACCACTCCGCACACACAGAACTCATTGCAACACATCACTACCATGTATAACTCCGCCCTCTAGCTAAGTCTGCGTTCATATCAGTGCGCGGCACTATATACTACGCTAAAACATTGTTATGGGAGGTTACAAAAAAAAAAAAACGGCGGGCTTGATGCGGGTTTTGGGCCTGAAAATTGAGAAACCATATCGGGCCGGGCCGGGCTGGGGCGCCACCCCCTCGGGCCAGGGCCGGGCTCGGGCCCAGATAATAGGCCCGTGCAGGGCTCTAATTGGAGGAGAGCGAGCGTCACGCTAAAGTCTCTACTCAGCCTTTTTTACGGCCTGAATTCATACACAAGCTGAATCCATGAGCTCAAGTTTTCAAATAAATTACGGATTATAATACAACTTTTATCGGGTATAGCATCTTTAAACCAACAGGGGGAGAGCACAAATCAGTCCACACACTGTGCTACACATTATTCCAGTTTTTCATTTTTTTATTTATACTTCCGTATTGTGAAATGATATCGCGCTCCATATGTGTATCAGACGAAAGGACATGAAAAAAAATCAGAAAACAGGTGTCTATTTATTTAATAACTAGTTTCTATTTAAATGTTGCCAGTATTTGTTTTTGAATTCCTGAAGTTCCTACATAACTGTGTGTCCACAATCCACCAAAAGTTAAAAAAGATTTATATGTACCAAAGCACAAACTTTCTGTCATTTCAACATTATTTTTTTTTTTTACTTTTCTTTACAAAGTACTCCCACAGATTTGACATTGAGTGGAATATGTTAGTTAGTTAGTTAAAAGTCACTTCAGTTATGTCCCCTTTACTGTTTTGAATTACTGGTGTCTCTAAGAGTTTCACTAATTAGCTGCGAAGCCCGGACATTGGCCCGCGGCAGATAACGATCCTGCAAGGTGAAGTATATCATCTCGACTATCTTCGCCGACATCTCCTATGCACAAGAGTCCACGAAATAAACAGAACAGAAAACCGGCTATTGCACGAGTGATAAATGATAATATGTGACTTCGGAGATCACAAACTGCAGCAGAAGTCAACTGTGAACAAAGGACATAGTAATTTACAGTGTAAGGATGTAACTACATTATCAAGACTGAAAGGGGGACAGTAAAAGGTAATGATATGGTGCCAAGCTCATTTACAACCATAGTACTTTTAAATGGGCTGTGTGGGTCGTAACCAGGCCTGGGACGAGCAATAGAGCAATCAGGGGGGATTCTGGAGCAGGGAAGAGCGTATTTAAACTGCAGTCAATAATGCAAAGCCAGCGTGAATATAAATGTATGTTATCAGGACTGAGAGATAGGAACGTCACTTACCGTCAGCTATGCATCGATAAAAATGAAGGTTTATAAAGTCAAATGCTGTGTAAAACTTTGGAGAGACGTGGAATAAATGAGAAATTACTTGAGTGTTTTCATTCATGGTACACGTTCTCTGTTAAAACCTGGCATGTGTCTCTGTGTGTTCTTAGAAAAGATTACTCAGAAAGACAAAGAACTGAATCTCTGACACTAATGCTGTGTTTTGGGGGGGGGGGGGGGTAATACTATTTACAGGTGAAACTAAAAATAACTGGGTGTGAAACAAACATATGATATAGATTCATCACATACTGTACAAAGTGACATATGCCAAGCCTTTGTTTTCAAAGGCTCGCGGCGTGCATACTGTACACACACCGAGGCACCGAGCCCCAGATACAAGCCACACGTATTTGAGCTGGCGAGCCCAAGGGGAGAACATGCAAACAAACGCTAACCCCCTTGCCGCAGTGGTAGCATAGTCTCGTCACTTGACAGTTCAATTATTATTTTGTATTTTATAGTACTTTTTTTATTTGGAATGTGTTTTCTACCTTGATTCATAGAGTTTTAAAATGGCCTTAAGGATATAGCTCCCCACAGTAAAAAAGCAGAAGGCAAAGTGTGTTCTCTTTCCTCACGATGGATTATCAGATGCAATCACCAATGGGTAAATTGAGCCAAGGAGCCTGTTTCCGTCCGTTTCTTTAGGGACCCCAGTCACGCATTGACATTTTGCTGTTGGCATTTCACCCTGTTTGCTTGAGTACTCTGTCAGTGTTTCTGATAGGCTCGCTGTTATCAACATCGCTCCTCCCAATCCCAAAATGGAGCACAAAATGATGCTCTGACCCACGATGGAAACACAAACCCGACATGGTCATTGTCCGACACTAGCATCGGCAGAACACATTATTCTTCCTGTCCAGGCCGCACCTCCAGGAGACATTAGCATGCAAGAGCAATGGCTATGAGAGGGAGTAGGGCAAATTGACCTAGCTGATTCCTCTGTAATTGGATAATGTCCCGAGCCGTGGTCCAAGAAACACTCATCTGTGTAAGATTGTTTTACAACTGGACAGGTGTCGGAGGAGGAATGAACTCCGCCAAACATGGAAGATGAGCATATTAGGACTGGATAAGGGTAAAGGTACACAGACTTTATTGTATGTATTGTATCGCTATATTGTAAATTCATGTTGTGTTTTGATTTTACCTGTATGGTCATTATGCAATTTTAAGTGTCCTGTGTAAATTGTGAAATAAAAATAAAGGATCCAAACAACTACAGGTTATCGATTAATCAAAAGATAGACCAACCAACAAAATTATTGTTCACTATTCACAATCCCCACATTCTCTTTATGATTTGACTCGATAGATAGATAGTGAGGTAGATAGATGAAGGATAGATAGATAGATAGATGGATAACTTTATTTGTTATTTGACATGCAGAGTACAAGTCCTTGAAATGTTTTTGAGGTATCAGTGAGTAACAACTGATTTTTAAAGTGACCTATTTTGCAAACACAAGTATTTTTGAGATTTCAAATGTTCAAATAGATAACTAGAAAAGCTCTCTTTGGTATCTGGATCATATTGTTATGAAATGTACTGTTTCTCTCATAACTTATTGATTTCCAGGGGGGTTCAAGCTTGCGTGCACTTGGTGAGGGGAGCTCAGCAGTGAGACGGTGGAAATGGGGAATAAGGAGTTTTGAGGGAGTCAAAGCAGTCTGTGTCTTTTGCACTGGGATAAAACAGACATAGATTAACTCCACTGAATATAAAAATATGCTATATGAAATTACATTCTTGAAAGTTGGATCTTTTTTGGTAATTCTGTGGTAGTCGAGTCATGCATGTTGATAAGCTATGTCTAATAGTTGAATATGTGACGATACATAAAACAATACAAAGAAACATGGAACATTGTGAGTGGTTTCTCAGGCTGCAATCTTCAGGATTTATGCCGGAGCAGAGTGCGAACAGCAGATGGGCTCAAATGGAAGACAAACAAATTACAATTCTCACACCTGTCATGCACTTGTGTTTGAGAAGTATTACACTCAGGAAATCAGGAACGGCTAAATTTAGTTAAAGCTGGGGCACTCAACTGTCAAACCACAAAAAATTAAATCCATCTATAGCAGTGGTCTCCAACCTTTTTCAATCGGGGGAGCTACTTTAATATATAAGAAAAGGGAGAGAGCTACTCCTTTTTGCAGTCATAGTAAATCTCTTTCTAATAATTACGACAAAACATGGAGAACACATGTAAAATATACCATAATACATACATACATACAATTATAATGTATTGTATGTATGTATTATTATATTTAATGACTCAAAATGTATTCATTCAATAGTCCTTTGGCGAGCTACCTGAAAGGAGCTGGCGAGCTACTGGTAACTCCCGAGACACAGGTTGGAGAACCCTGATCTATAGTTTCTTGCACTCACTTGTTTTCATATGCAATACTTTTACTTTTACAAAACTGCTCAGTGGTAATGAAAAGTAAAGGCTACATGCTCCAACTTTACCTTTTTTGTACAGTATCTTGTCGACAGTTAAATTAAAGTTTATAGGGTTTAAAGAGGATTTTTCCATGTTTACGGTTCTTAAATTCCACACATCTCACCAGTGCGTGACTGATGTGTCTGTATATCTACAGAATTTGTATATATTATTACATTATCCTAGTATCAGTTTCTCACACAGTTCATTAGAATTCTGCAGCAGGAGGTTTGCCCATGCAGTGAAACAGATGAGGCCTTTAGCCACTGCAGAGTAATGATCTGTGCTTTATTATAATTTGTTGTGAGGAATCATCATCGGTCTTATTTTCACTTTGCACAAACATTTAAAAAGTCTTAATTACATATTCATTAAATATAATGTGATTAAGCTGTGGCAACATTAACTTTAGAGACCGGACTGGATTTGTGAAATGTGAAACGCACTCTTAATCATGCGATGAAGCCTTTTGGCAGAAGTCTTATACATATTATTCATTAATTAAGTGTCTTTTTTATTATTGAAAAATAGTAAATAGTTAAATATATTCCTTGATGTCAGTTAAGGCAGCGCAGATGTGTGTAATGCGAAGAAGTGGAAAATGTCCGTTTAAAGAAACATCTGTGTTTCTGTGGACTGTGTTGGAGTGAACCAGCTGTTTCTGTTCAGATACTGATCTCGAGGTATCAAAGGTTGAAATTAAGTTTGAGACTGAAATCAGTTTCTTTTTTTTTTTCTTCATAACTAAAATAAATGGCTCCGATTGTGTTATTAAACTGTTTTTAACATACGGCTTACTGTGTGTTTACGGATGGACAAAAAATAGTCCAAATTGAGTAAGTAAGTATTATTATTTATATAGTGCATTTTACAGGCCAAGGTCACCCAAAGCACTTTGCAACGTACAGAAATCAGGTATTTTTCCATTCACACATGGTGATGACAGAAGCGAGACGCCGAACGCATTGGAGCATCAAAGTTTCCCCAACACCATCCATTCACTCGCTCATAACATTCATACCTATTGTACCTGGGTTTTTTTTAGTGGTAAGGGAAACCGGAGCAACCGGAGGAAACCAGAGAAGACGTGGGGAGAACATGTACAGTGCCTTGCGAAAGTATTCGGCCCCCTTGAACCTTTCAACATTTCGCCACATTTCAGGCTTCAAACATAAAGATATAACATTTTAATTTTTTTGTCATGAATCAACAACAAGTGGGACACAATCGTGAAGTGGAACGAAATTTATTGGATAATTTAAACTTTTTTTAACAAATAAAAACTGAATAGTGGGGCGTGCAATATTATTCGGCCCCTTTACTTTCAGTGCAGCAAACTCACTCCAGAAGTTCAGTGAGGATCTTTGAATGATCCAATGTTGTCCTAAATGACTGATGATGATAAATAGAATGCACCTGTGTGTAATCAAGTCTCCGTATAAATGCACCTGCTCTTTGATAGTCTCAGGGTTCTGTTTAAAGCGCAGAGAGAACCATGAAGACAAAGGAACACACCAGGCAGGTCCGAGATACTGTTGTGGAGAAGTTTAAAGCCGGATTTGGATACAAAAAGATTTCCCAAGCTTTAAACATCTCAAGGAGCACTGTGCAAGCAATTATATTGAAATGGAAGGAGTATCAGACCACTGCAAATCTACCAAGACCGGCCGTCCCTCCAAACTTTCATCTCAAACAAGGAGCAGACTGATCAGAGATGCAGCCAAGAGGCCCATGATCACTCTGGATGAACTGCAGATAACTACAGCTGAGGTGGGGATGGTGTGTTCAGGGTGATGAGCTGTGTTGCTTTAACGCCAAACATATCGTTTTGCATTGTGGCCAAAAAGTTCGATTTTGGTTTCATCTGACCAGAGCACCTTCTTCCACATGTTTGGTGTGTCTCCCAGGTGGCTTGTGGCAAACTTTAAACAAGACTTTTTGGATATCTTTGAGAAATGGCTTTCTTCTTGCCACTCTTCCATAAAGGCCAGATTTGTGCAGTGCACGACTGATTGTTGTCCTATGGACAGACTCTCCCACCTCAGCTGTAGTTATCTGCAGTTCATCCAGAGCGATCATGGGCCTCTTGGCTGCATCTCTGATCAGTCTGCTCCTTGTTTGAGATGAAAGTTTGGAGGGACGGCCGGGTCTTGGTTCGATTTGCAGTGGTCTGATACTCCTTCCATTTCAATATAATTGCTTGCACAGTGCTCCTTGAGATGTTTAAAGCTTGGGAAATCTTTTTGTATCCAAATCCGGCTTTAAACTTCTCCACAACAGTATCTCGGACCTGCCTGGTGTGTTCCTTTGTCTTCATGGTTCTCTCTGCGCTTTAAACAGAACCCTGAGACTATCAAAGAGCAGGTGCATTTATACGGAGTAGGGATGTAAATCGGCGACCGTTTAACCGGTGGTTGACCGTCACAGCGTTAACCGGTCAAAGCTGTCGGTTAAAAAAAGAGAAAAAGGGGAGGTCTCTTAATAACGCTATTTTAAGCCCTATTTGCACGATGTGACGAGCGGGTCTGTATCTAGCTGTGTGCGCCCATGTATTATAAACTCCGGGACGACTCTCAAGCCGCACGAGCCACATATGCACACACGCGCACGCGCACACACACACAGACACACACACACACTTTCCCCCTCTCCATACGTAACATCCACACGCATCATCTCTCCCCTC